CAAAAGAAATGTCTCCCTCAGGCTGGACGGAAGCAGGTGAGAGAGTAAGAGATGGGGAGACACTGAGGCGATTGATTTTGGCTGGCGGTCCCCACAGAGGGGTGTGACGAGACAAGGGAAAACAAAAATCACACGAAGCAGCTGGGAGGCTTTCCCCAGCAGGCAGCCGGAGGTGTTCCCAGTGAGCGCGCCCTGCTCGGACCCGCCCTGGGCGTCCAGGCCGGACCCCTGCTTTGCCATTGCAGGCAGAGTGGGCGGCGGAGGCTGGCGCGGTCGGGACAGCTGGTGGGCCGCGCGATGGTCGCCCCGCAGCCAGGCCGGGTGTTCCTAAGTCTAATGTCCACCTCACAGAGACCCATCCCATAACCTAGCAGGACTTCCCCCTCCCTCTATGAGGTCAATAGACTTTCTTTCCAGAAGAGAAGAGCCAAGGAGATGGCCTGTTTCTCACTTGCACAGCAGGGACTCTGGCTTAAGCCCCAGAGAGCAGACAGGCTGGGCCCACTCCAAGGCAGGTGGGGAGGCCCTGCTAGGAGGCCGTTTACCCCAGGGGACTGAGCCTTCCCCTTCCAGTACTGCATGATTAAGCCAGAGGAGAGACAAGAAATGCTGCCCCGTGGCTCCTGCTACCACGGGGCCAGCTTAGCCCTCTGACTACTGGGCCTGGGAAATGTGGCGATACTGTTTTTAGAAGGAGAAATGGTCAACCTGGGCTTCACTACCAAGGAGCGATGCGCTACAAGGTTTCAGATTAGTAACCAGGCCAACTGAGGAGGCAGCATCTGTAGTACTGAAGGTTCCCAGTACGGAAGGAAGGACAGTCAAGCTCTGGGGCCCCACGTTTGCTGGGGTTTCTGATCTGAATGTTCTTCCTCCAACCTCCCCACCCGTTCATATTCTCTCCTGCTCTGATCTCTTCTCCTGGGACGGATTTCAGAATCTCTGTCCCGGAAAAGCACTTTTCCCAGAGGGCCCTTCCCCACCTCTCCCTGTGGAAATCCCCCCTTTGCTCTCAGCCCAGTTCAACCTCCTTCATCAACTGGTCATGGATCTTCCACCTGGTTTGCATGCATCTCTCTTCCTTTGAAGAGAGGTTCTTTTAGGGGAGGCAAAACTTCACCTCTACACATCTTAGGTTTTCAACTGGGACTCAGACAGAAAGATTAACAAGAGAAAACAGTTTATTAATATGAAGTGCACATCACTGGGGAGATCCCAAAATGAAGAGTAACTCAAAATCATGGCTTAGACTCTGGCTTATGTAGCATCTTCAACAAAGGACAACAGATCTGTAGAGAAATGTCAGGACAAAGGAAAGCAGGTTCAGGCTTCCAAGGGCGGTAAGTGGCAGGAAGGTAAATGAATGGGGGGAAATAGAGTGAGGTTTGTCAGAAGGTTCCTCTGGTGCCTTCTCTGGGCTGGTAAGAGTCTGCCTGTAGTAAAAGGAAAATTTAGATCCTCCCTTTAGGCAGAAAAGAGGGTAGGGAGAGCTTTCTTGCACTTGCTGCTTAATTGCCTTCAGTTCAATATAACTTTTACGCCTACGTGGCTTATTTTGAGGTGGCACCTTCAGCTACCTTTCATTCCACTGCAGGCTCATGCTGGTCCTGCCCATCTCACCCAAGCTGGTCTGACCTCTGTCCCTTTCTCCTGGTTCTAACTCTCAGTCTAGCTGGTGAAGGATCTCATGCTAGTGCAATGTGCTGTTCCTTCCAGGTAACGTGGTTGCATGCAGGAATGAGAGGACTGGGATTCGAGAGATGTTGCCACTGGCATAGACTGGAAAAGGAGGGTCAATCAGGGGTCTTCTCTATGGTGCTTGGTCCAGCCCATTTGGGGAATATCTGCTACTCTCACAAAGGTCTAGCCTTCACCATTTTTTTTTTAAATCTGACTAGGTCTCAGGGTTTTAAGGGGTGAAATGTTGTTTCTGCAATTCTCCATACATGCAGATCTTTGTCATTATGAGTTATCCTAATGAGATCCCTTCCTTTTGACCTAATTTTGCAAGCTCCCTGATGGTGAGGAGGCTTGCCACCCACCTCCCCCATTAAATCAGTGGCCATTCGTGGCATAGCACCTTCTGCTTTCCGATTCAGATTGAAATTTCCTCTACACGCACGCATGAGGCAGACTCATCTCATTGTCAAGTCTAAAAAATAGATCACAACTCAGAGTGACAGGATCCAAATGTAAAATGCAGTGTCTGGCACCACTGGTGATAAAATAAATTACCTGTAACCTGGTAAGCAGGTCATCTTGATCCTCCACTCTGTTCTGGTGACTTCAGTGATTGATTTTGCTAAATTCAGATGAAGCAGAGGGACATTCAGGTTCAGAGCTTCGAGTGAAATGAAAGTGGTTGGGCCAAGAGATGAGATAATAAAACCCTTTGCCAGGGCAGGTGAAGAGAAGATCTCTGATTCTTGGTTTCCCCAGGGCTTCTGTTTTGTCCCTCCTGAGACTCGATTCCCCCTCTGGCCTTCAGATTTCCAGAGACACTATTGTATCTGTTTAATAGACATGATTTTTTTGTTTAGGGCAGTTTAAGTGGGTTTGCAAACAATCTTTAAGACAAGAGGCCAACACTTAGATGATTTGACTTGAAAGAGACCTGCCCCACACAGACTGCATGGGGCCTGGAGTTCTGCTATGAGGGGCACTGATTTAGTTTGAGTCACCGAAATGCAATATTATTGTTAAAGGCTTAAGGCCCTAACCAGCTCTTGGCATTCTAGAGCTGTGTTGTTCAACAGAAGTATAATGAGGGGAACCTATATAATTTCAAACTTTTGTATTGGCCAGTGACATTAAAACAAGTAAAAAGAGATAGCTGAAGTTAATTTTAACAGTTTATTTAATATAATTTCAAAAATGTTACAATTTTAATATATAATCAATATAAATAATTATGAGTGAGATATTCTACATTCTTTGGGGCAGGTACTAAGTCTTTGAAATCTGGTGTGTATTTGACAGCACATCACGATTGGGACCAGCCACATTTCAAGGGCTGCGTCACCCCATGTGGCCAGTGGCTACTGAACTGAGCAGTGGCTGGAAATCTGGGGTAATAGGACTTGCAGAGGGGAGCTTCTCTAGCCATTGACTGACCTCTGTGCTGCTCAGGTCAGCTCAACCTTGGCAGAGTCGTTGAGGAGATGAAGGTTTTTATACTTGCCTCATTTGTCCACCCAAACCATAAAAATCTTCTGGGCGGGCCCTTTTTCTCCGTATTCATCCTCCATGGGGTCTAGCGCAGTGCTCCATGATGTGGATGGTCACTTGCCCACATCTCCTTCAGCTGTGAGTCTGCCCATCACCCGGTGGCTGTAGGTCTGGCTGCTAAGTGGCTCACAGCTGCTCCTCGGAGAACAGCTTTTGGTGAATGGGTTCTGCTCCCCCACCCCACCCCTATAGCCTTCAACCAATAATTGGCTGACATGGAGGCACAAAAGGCTCATCTTTTCCTCAACGTGGGACCAATTCCATGGTGCAATCTGTGCTCCAGAGCTTTCTGTAGGGTCAAGCTGAAGCTGGTCTCTGGCCCAGACCATGTACTTGCTGAGCATTCTTCCTCAGCCCTAACCTGCGTGCGTTCCATACTCCCCCTCCTCTTTGAGCATCAGTCACTCGCTCAGGATTCCCCATCTCAGGATTCCTGAGAACCAAGCCAAGGCAGTAATGACCAAACTCTGATGGCCATTGGAACCCCCACCACCATATTCTGATGCAACTCAGCATGGCTCACAGTGTCCTTGTTTCTGCCAAGGAATTTCTCAGTCACTTAAACCTCCGTCTTGGTACTGAGCCCATGAATTAAAGTGGAGAAGATGTAAGCCTTGTGTTGGTGCACTTGTTAGCAGCTCTGGGAGACAGAGGGCAGAACGATTGTTGAACAGGAGGTTTTGCTTTTAGACACAAACTTGCCATTCACACATTTGCTCTTTCCCACAGCAGAGCCTGTTTGCGACAAGCCTGCCAACTAAGCCTGTCGGAAGGAGCTGGGTGGAGTAGGTGCTCCGAGGGCCGATCCGATCCCACGGTAAGGACCCTGAGGCTGGTGTCGTTCTAATGCTGAGATGCTCCTCCTGGTTCCTGAGTGGAACGGAGACAGTCACTGCTCACAAAATGAAATGAGCCAGATTGCCGCTGAGCCGCCCAGCCAGACCCCTGGGCCAGGGAGACTGGGGCTGCGGGTTCAGTCCTCTGGTGGGTTAGGCTCTGTTTCCTGACTGTGGGTTGTACTCAGAACCCTGCCACATTGTCATTCCCATGGGAATTAGGCACTGGGCACTGAAAGGTGTCAAGGCATAAGCATGCTAACACACCTGTTAGTCAAGAACGTGCAGAGCAAGAAAGAGACATTAGTGAAGACAAAGTAACTTGAACTCTGAGATCTTGAATGTCAAAATCTGGAAGGGTTTTATGTGGTCTTAGTGAAGTTCTTAGTGTAAAAAAGCAAAATCGAAGTCTTAAGGGTCAACATGGTCCTACACGCAGGCAAGAACACAGCTCTGTACTCACACCACAGGCCCGCCAGGAGGTTCTGACACAAAGACCCCCCACTGGTTTGATACCAAAACTTCTCAACAGGATTGCTTACCCCAGAGTTGGATTAGTGGGACTAGGGGCGGGGACACCGATGGTGGGCTTGGGACATTTAGGACATTGAAAGGAATAGCCACGGGCTGCTTAGATACAACCCAGCTCAGGCAACACTGTTACTGACCCGGGCCCTTGGACTCTCCAATCAATAGAAACTGATGAGGCCAGATGAGAATTTCAAGCAAGGCTTCTTTATTGGAGCTCATGCTGCAGCACAAGGGAATGAAAGCAAGAAGCAGGTGCCCTTGCTCGCTCCTGGAGAGATGCTGCTTGGGTCCTTAACTGGGGGTAACAACGGAGGTTGATATGTAGGTTGGACAGGAGGCACAGCTTAGGCGGTCTGCCCACCCTCTTGGTGGTGCTGTGTGCAGGGATCATGCCCAGCACCCTGCTTTTGCTCCTGGCATCTCAGAAATGGCAGTTTGCTCGTGGCCTTTTTGTATCCCATTGCTCATAACTGCAGCTTGTACACGCGTGCCGTTAGTTTTAGTCACTTGTAGTTTCTTTGCCCAGGTGCAAGCACTCTGGTAGAGGCTTCCAAGTCCCAGCCTATCTCGGTACCTCCAGCTTCTCTCAGCTCTGATTACTGGAGCTTTACTTGCAGCTTCCTGCCCTGGGACCAGTTTCAATTCTTGTAGGAAGGGGGGAGGGGCTAAGTAAGAAGGGTTGAGAAAACCCAAGTGTATTGCCAGTAGTAGCAAGTGTTCTCTGCCCGGGTCCTGAACACTCTTCACGTTAAATCCCGCTGTTGACACCTGTGGGCGTTGTCTGCCAAGATCCCTTGGCCCTCATCCTTCCGCGCGTGCCACTCCAACTTCCCTCTGCAGCGCCTGTGTCCCTTTGCCTGTGGCCTTTCTCCTGCCATTGGAGCCTGTTCTGCTGCTGTGCAGGAGGCAGGCTAGAGGTGCTGGGGAAGTAACAGCCCAGGAGCCTGGTCAGCCGCCAAGGACAGGCAGGGTAGGAAAGCCCTAAGCTGGATGTTCCGCTCTGCTTGATGGAGCTCCCCACTGGGATAAAGCTGCTTTGCCCACAATGGTGACAAGCATCCTTTACTGGCTTCCTCCTCTTCTTTATCACGTCCCCATCACCATGTCAGTGTCTCCTAAGGTCATTCCTCCCACCTCTAAGTTACTTGCACTTGATTCTCTGTTTTAGGGTTTTCTCCTGAAGGAAACTAAGCCAGTGCCCCATCCGACTTTCCTTACTGTACAGATTGGACACCAAGTTAGGCAGAAGCTGTCTGACCAAGGACCAGCCTTGGTCAGAAGATTTTGAGTTGGTTCCAAGAAATGGTTTGAAATCTACAAATATGAACACCAGGCCTGACCTAGGTGATGCTGGAATGACTTCCCTGATTACCAATCGGGGTAGGTTCTCCCATCTCCTCCCCTCTAACTGCAACCCCTAAAAACGCAGGCCATCATGGGTGCAGGCAGAAGCCAGCCAGCCTCGGATGACTCAACTGCAGTCAAAGACAGGACCAGATAATACGTAAATAAATGAGATAATAAGTACATGAACAAACAAATCTGTTCCAATAAAACTTTATTTGGCCCATCTCGATCAAGTGTAATAACGTTTAATAGATTTTTTTAAAACATGAGTAGTCATAGCAATTCCTCTGTGATAACAATTATATATGAACTTCTGGTCAAGATCAGGAGCTTGTTCCTTTACCAAAAAAGTAAAACCGCCCTCTGAGGACAAATGGCTCATGAGAAGCGGTGTACATTTCCTTTTCTTTAAAAAAAAAAAACCCAAACAAAACCCAAACACTTCATATTTACATATTTGCCATTTAAAAACTGGTGAGTATGATTAATTGTCTTTAAATAATAAGTTTCTAACATGTTGCAGGTTTCACTGTACAAATCCTAGTTAGCTGATTAGATTTAAGGTGCTGTTGAGGTGAGGGTGAACACAGCCTAGGATAAACACAAGGGAATCCTCTGTTTACAGACTGGCTGGACCTCCTGTGGGCATCTTCGGGGAGAGCCAGTGGTGGGGATGGCAGGGCATTTCCAAGGGACTGGTCTCTATGCTTCTGCAGGGGGCCTGCTGTGCCCACACATGATGGCCCCAGGCTGTGTGTGCTAGCATGGCTCTGGGTTTGCCTGCTCCAAACTCATCCAGGCCGCAGCTATGAGGGACATGGTGGTCTCGAGTCCTTTCTTTTGTCGTGGGGTCCCCATGCTGGTGCCTGACCCCTGAGGGCCCTCGCTGTTGGCACCCCACCTTTCATACCCTCCCACTTTTCTGGATTCCTTGTCCCCAAAACCCCTTGCTCTCCAGTGCATTTCTTCAGGGCCTGCTCTATGCCAGGGTTAAGTGGATGATCAGAATCAGGGGCAGTATTGATGAAGCCGGATGGGTCATGGGTGAATCTCCCCTAATGCATCTGCTCTGTGGCAGGCACCTCATTGCTGTCCTCCAAGTGAGCAATTCGTGCTGAGAACATTAGTTCTTAACGGTAGGCTTGGAGAGAGGGTGTGTGTATAGGGGGCGGACGGGCAGGCTGGAGGGGTTCTTGGAATTGCTGTCTTCAAACTCACCCATGTCTGAAGTTCCCTCGGGAACCAGAGCTGTGTCTTTGTATCTGCGTGTGTGTCAGGAAAGTGCATAGGAAGTTCTGGAGAAGGTGGGTGCCCAGGCCTGGGAGAACGAGTAATTTTACCCACAGACCCCAAACTAGTCTGGTCTGAAACCCAGATTTCAGACCACACAGGAGTGAGGCAAATCCTACGGGGGAGAGGCAGATGGGTATATTTAAATACTTGAGGCGCCAGAAAAAAAAATATGCTTGGTGAAGAAGCGAAAGACACTGGCTCAGTTTCTAATTTCAGAATTCAAGGGACACTGCTCTGAATAAAAAGCACAGGGAGTGGGTCAGATGGTAACAGACAGGGAAGAAACCTCTTGGACCAAGTTTTCTGACCACAAAGCCAGAGTGACCCCAGTAGAGGAAGACATTGTATTGTGGACAGACACCGACCTGGGGGCCAGGAGACTGGGAGTCAAGGCTTGCCCAGACACCGACTAGGCCCTGATCTTATAAGCAAGTCACTTTGCCTCTGCGCCTCACTGTCCTTCCTCAACGGCCAGTTGAGCCTAACTGGGCCAGACGGTTTCAACACCATGCCTTCAAGATTCCTCTGCCCACAGCCACCCAGGTGGGGCCTGCAGACTGCTGTTTAAGATATGTTTCTTCCCTGTGCACCACTATTTAGCAAAACGCAAGGGCCTCTTCTTTGCTGGGAAAAGGATCAACCCCCAAACTAGGCTCCTGTTCAAACCTGCTCCCAGAGGTTAAAGGCTAGTTATTAAGGCAGTTTAAGAAATGGACATTCCTCTTGCTCCTCGGATCCTTCTTATGTTCTGCTAACCCCGAGGCAGCAGAGAGGGGCGGATGGGGTAGTGGAGGTGCCAAGGAGGCAGCCCCCTCCTGCCAGGCCCGGCTTTCCCGGCATGATCTCCAGGATGGCCTGGAGCGCCCCCTCGGCCCTCACCACCTTTCTTTGGAGAAGGCTTCAGTCTGCACGAGATCGCCAGGGTGCTCAGAGATGCACGCGCCGTTGAGGTCGCCCAGTTTGTTGTCTGGCAGGTCCTCGGGCTTGGTGCAGAGCTTCAGGGCGCGGGAGATGAACACGTCGAGGTCGAACTGGGGGCTGGCGCCCCCGTCGATAGGGGCGGAGCGGCCGGGTGGGGAGGCCGCCCGGCAGCGCTCGGGGCCGTCGAGGGGCGGGCTGGCGCGCTCGGGGCCGCCCTGCGTGCTCTTGACCCACTGCGCGATCTCCAGGAAGAGGCTGGCCGGCTCATCGTCGCGCGCCCCGGCGTCTGGCGCCACCGCGGCCACCGCGGCCACCGCGGCGGTGGGGGGCGCCCCGGCCGCCTGCTTCCAGTGGGACAGGTCCAGGATGAGCTTGGGCTCCGAGTAGTGGTGCGGCTTGTTGTCGCGCCACAGCAGCTTGTCCAGGTAGGACGGCGACCCCACCTTGTAGTCGCAGGAGCGCCCGTAGTCGGCCTCGAAGGCGCGCTCCATGGACGAGTGCGACTGCTCCAGGAAGCGCTCCGAGCTGCTCTGCGAGTCCTTGCGCGGGTCCACCTGCACGTCCTCCGCCAGCGGCGCCGAGCCCGCGCGCGGGTCGCGCTGCACCTCGCTCGCATCCTGGCACCGGTCGGGCCGCCACTCCAGGTCCGAAGACAGGCTCACGGGGTACCTGTAAGGGTAAGGCAGGATGGTGATTGGATCCCCCAGCCGGAATGGCTTTTAAGAGGGAGCCAACTTCCCTAATCCCTGTCTGCCACCCACTGGCCGGATTTCCATTCCTTCCCGGTCCCTCCAGCTCTTCTCCGCCACTTCCCATGGTGGGAGGGTGATGGGTCAAAGCAATGGTGAGCCGCCAGGGCTCAGGTACAGGGGCTCACTGTTTGCCGTAACTCTGGTTGGCTTTTGTATTCATTCGACATCCTACAGATACTTCTTGAGCGCCTCCTGTGTGCCAGGTGCTGTTCTGGGCATTACCAGACACAGCAGTGAACAAAATCCCTGTCCTCATGGAACTTTCTAGTGGGTCCACCTATGCATTGCTCCTCAAACTCTGAGGTGCACACAAATGACCTGGGGACCTTGTTGAAATGCAAGTTTTGATCTAGTAGATCTGAGGTGGGGTCTGAGGTCATGTAGTTCTCACGGGCTGCCAGGTGAAGCAGTAGCTGCTGGTCCTTGGCCCACACTTTGAATAGCAGGGCCCTAAAGAGTGCTCCCCAGTCCTGGCTCAGATTAGAACCATCTGTGGAAGGAAGAATTTCTAATGATATTCCATGCCTGCTCCACACCCCGAATCCTGACTCAATAGGTCTAGGGTGGAGGCCTGCATTGGCGTGGTTTTCACACCTCCTCAGGTATTTCTAAGGTGCAGCCAAGGCTGAGAACTCTTGCCCTAGTGGATCTGGCTGGGGTCCCCGACAGAGGCAGAGCAGGGCCTATGGAAAGATGACGCCCTCAACAGAGGCAGATCCTTGGACTTCTGCCCTCTGTCGACTGTCCTGCAGCCTTGAAGAGCGAAGTCAGCTAGCCAAGAGCACATGAAGGGCAGGTGGGCAGGCGGGCAGGCCATTAGCTTGGGCTGAGCCCTCCCTCCCCGTGCCAGGTGTTCTGTGCGGAACCGTGGGGGTCAGGGAGCAGGCAAGAACAGAGGAAGCCTCAGGCAACAGGCAGCTGCTCTGGGAACAGGAGGTTCAGTGTTCACACAGGAAAAGTCAAGGACAGGCAGGTTAGGCTGCGTGAGGGGGCAGGCGGCCAGCTGCAGTCCACGCCTTGTGGTTTTCAAGGCATGGGGAAGGCGTGGCACTGCCCGCCCTCCCCGTGATGCCATTAGGGTGGGAGTCACTCCTGGAGGTGAACACTGCCTCCTCCCATGAGGGTCCCCAAAACTGCAGTGATTTCTATGAGGAAGACCGTCGCCTTTGGCTATTACACGCCAAGGGCCAAATGTAAGTTGTCTGCTGTCTTCAGAGCAACCCTGTGGAGCGAATGTTCTCACCCACCTCACAGGTGAGGACACTAGCGTTCAGTGGTGAGCAGTTTGCTCAAAGCAGAGCCAGTAGGAAGGGGTTTGTCTCTGCCGTTGTCATCCGCTTTCCTCATGCAGGTGTGATGGGAGAGGTCGGGGGCAGAGCAGCACCAGGTTTAGATGTGGTCAGCGTTGATGGGCAGGGGCCAAGGGAACCCTGCTGTTTTCCTGCTATCAACCCCATGCCACAGCCACAAGAAGCAGAGGACAAACCTCACTGGGGGGAGGGGAGGCTACAGGGACCACAGTCAAGTGCAAGCCTAGAAGAGGGGACAGCAGGAGAGAGAGTCTTCATGTCTTCATTCATCTCTATTTGCTGGCCGCTCCTGATAACAACAGTCAACAACAACAAACCGACAAACCTGTCCCAAAATAGCAACGTTGCTCTGGCCCTCCCTCGGAGCCTCCTCAATCTGAAACCCATCATCTGTCAAATGACTGAAAAGGACAAACTGCTCATCTGTCACTTACGTAACTAGCTGTCACATTCTCCCAACAGCAGGGCTCCCGCTTAGGCCCCCTCGGAGTCCGAGCTGCTAAACCCTCAACTTCTATTTCTAAACAAGCAGCTCTCAGTGCTCCCTCCAAGGATTAGCAGATGGTGATGCCCAAATGTTTAGCTGCCTGATCTAGGAACATCAGAACGGGAAGGGACTGGAGAGAGCATTGTATGTGTACGCGGCGATGGTTGAAAATGTATCTTCTCCCCAGCTCTGATTCACTGGGTAGTGCCTTCCAGGCACACTGTGTAGAGAAGGGTTCTGAGGCCCAGCTGAGCAGGAAAGAGTGATTGCTCAGCAGTCTGACATGGATGCAGACTGGGGAGGGCCCCACGTGGGCCAGGTGTTAGCTATGTGACACGGTGCCAATCTCTAACCTCTCTGAGCTGTGGCTTCCTCGTGTGTCAGTGGGTATAATAATCATGGTGCCTCCTTTCCTGGCAGCTCAGGAGGGGCAGATGATGTGAAGGGCATGAAGGTGCTGCGTGGTGGTAAATTTCTCATTGTTTTCTTGTCTTGCGAGGCTGCGTTTTGCTCTCCTGGGGCAAATCCCTGGCCTGCTAGAAGTGAGCTCCTGCATGCTCACTGAATGTCTGCTGAACGTTGTATTGTGTGTGCAGCATACCGGGGTCGGGGGGTGGCTGTGTTGCACAAAGGAAGATCCCTGACCACACATGCAGGACATGGCTGGTCATCTACCAGGCGTGTCTGGGGACAGGAGAGAGGGCAGGAGCTAGGTTGGGGAAAGTGCCCACGGGTTACAGAACTTGGGGGACAGAAGGAAAGGTCATGGAGGATCAGAGGCAGACAGAAATGGGCATGTGGGCTGGAGCCCCTGGAAGCGCACCTGTCCCAGTTGGAGAGCTGGCTCTGGTTGGCGGCCATCAACAGGATGTCATCAATCTCATCCTCGATGCGGAAGGGGTGCTGCGAGGTGGGCTCGTCCTCGGGGCAAGAGTAGGGGCTCATGTAGGGGTGCTGCAGCCCCATCTCGGCAGTCAGGCGGTCCACGGGGTTAAAGGTGAGGATCTTCTCCAGAAAGTCGATGGCTGTGGGGAGCAGAGCAGGACGGGGGGGGGGTCATTCAGTGCCACTGTCAAGCTAAGAACGAGACTCCTCGGCGTGGTGACGCCCCCTCGTGTCTGTACTTTCCCATTTGTAAAAAAGGCTTTTAGCCATTTCCTTTCTCATGATCCTCCCCACAATCCAGAGACGAGTTCACAGGAGATGCTGCTTTTTGACTCCGCAAGTGAATTGATAGAGGTCCAGAGGGGGGCAGTGACTCGCTCACGGTCACTGCTGATTACAGGAGGTCCAGGGCTAGAACTCTGCCTTAGGCTGGATTTCTCCAGAGACGGGGAGCAGGGTGGTGGCAGTTTAGGTGGCAGGGACCCCTGGCAGAGAATGGGGAAGAAGCCAGTTGAGGATGTGCTGACATGCAGTTCCTTCTGAGGGCACCTGGGGCTCCTCCTGGGTCCTTTGAGACCCAGTGGGGGACACACCTCTGAAGTAGGGAAACTCCCACTTGTCATGGGCTGAATGCTGCTGAGTGGGCGCTCCTATCAGAACACAGCAGTAAAACACCATTGAGAAGGGTCACATGGGGGTGGGTGCGTGGCACAGGGCCGGACAGTCTGGGGCTCCTAAATCCAGAGCCCTTTCCACCATATACTGTCCCTGGAGATTTGACAAATAAAGGCCATCTTCAAAACATTTATCCACCCTGATGTTCCAGGCAGTAACCCTTCAGTGGCTAGATCAAGGGGCGGCCCTGGCAGCTGACCCTGGGCATGGGGACGGGCACTTAGAAGCCTTGAGCCTTGACTGTGTGCCGACCAGCATGAAAGCAGATCAAGGTGTCAGCAGCCGGGAGGCATAATGGGTGTGCACTGGCGGGACGCCAGCTCTGCGCAGGAGCTGGTGCCCTTCCTCCTGAGCGGGGTGGGGACGCCCGCCTGCCCTATGAGCTGGGCCCTGGGTTATCTCAGGGCAAGGCTAGCCTGGAGGTTTGCATTACCTGTCAGCGCTGGAGGCTCCAAGGAAATCATAACTTTGCTAATCATGTTATAGCCCACGTGGAAAGGGAGGAAAGGCACTGAGCTCAAGGTCCGGGTGGCTGTCTCCTCTGAAGGGCTTCGGGCTGGGCCTCAGCCCACACCATGACCCAGCACTCACACCCTCTCTGAACCCCTCCGCAGAAAAATTCATCAATGATTCAGGAAATTGATGGATTCTGAAGGTCACTGGCCTCCCAGGAGGACATGGTTCTGCGCCATCATTCTAGACTGAAAGATCAGTTAAGCTGCAGGAACTCTGATCACTCCCCAGTGCTCTGGTCCTCTAGCAGGTGCCCAGACACTTCTGGGGAACCCGGAATATTAGAAGATCCTTCCTTATAGCACACCTAAATCTGCCCCTTGAACTCCCTCCTGTGAGCCTAGCTCTGCCCTCTGGGGTCCCCCCAACATCAGTGTGCTGTCTCCTCCCCATGACTGTTCCTCTTATGTTTCAAGGCAGCAGTCATGTCCCATGCGAGCCCTCTCTCCTCCTGGCACACAACTGGCTTGCATCTCCCAGCCTCCCCTGTAGTTAGCAGCTGCCGTGTGACTGCGGCCAATGGAAAGGGGGTGGAAGCAATGTGTCTACCCCACTTCTAGTCCAGACCCATAAAAGCCTCCTGCAAGAGTGTCTGCTCTCTCTTCCCCTGGCTTCAGCTGGAAGTTGGTACCTGGGGGGACCTTGAAAGCTGTGATTGAAGATGGCAGGTGGCTTGAGTCTCAGGCATAACCCAGGCTCCCCGACTCTGCCTGGACCTGAGGTGAGTAGTGAACACACTGCTGGCTGGTAAGCCACAGAGATTTCAGGTTTATCTGTGACAGCACTAGCTTCACCTTAACTCGTAATTCCTTTTCTAAGTTCAACCTCCCCACATTTCGGCGCTTCTAACATAATAAGGCTTCTGGACCATCTTATCATCTTCCTGCAGCCCCAGTGGGTTCCCAGTGGGGCTTCTCAGAGCTCCAGGGGTTCTGGAAGGATTCCCAGGGGAGTCTTTGGAGACTGAGAGGCAGGTGGGCAGGCCCCTGAGCACCTCGCCCCTGCTGTGGTCAGAGCAGTCCTTTTTTTGTTTTGTGTATTAGGTTTCCTCATCACATCTGTCACTTGTGATATAATGACTTCTTGTTATAAATGGAGCTCTGAATTGAATGTCCTGGGGGTGGTCTTGGCCCTGCTCCCTCATCCTGCACCTATGGTGTGATGGCCGCTGAGGGACACAGTCCACCCAGGCTGCGTCCTTCGAGCCTCTGAGGGTGAAAACCAGAGAGGCCCCCCGCAGGCCTGGAATGTCCAGCAAAGGGATAAACCGGGGATAACCAGCTGGCTCTTCTGGGCAGGTGCGTTTGATGCCCTTTCTCCCCCCAAAATTTCCTTTCAGCGATACCTCATTACCCTAAGGCCAGAGATGGCCTGGGGCCACTTTTCAAGCCCAGAGGCAGATGAGAGACTTTGGTTGTAGCTGGCACATTAGAGAGTGAAGCAAGCCCAGCTTTCATGAACATCTTTTTGGCTATAGGACCAAGTCCACATGCATCAGCAGGGCAGTCAAAGCCTGCGGCCTCTTGGCGCTTCTCACCTCTGTGGCTTCACTTCCTACAACCGCTTAGTGACTCGTCCCACTGACCTGAGCCCTCTCCACTCCTCCAGGCCGGCTCTCTGTCCCTCTCAGTGCTTGATGGCCCTCTTCCCCTCCCCAAAGACCCAGAGTTCTCGCTGGCCCCTTAGGACGTGTTCCTTAGGCTGCATACTCATCTTTGACGGGTCCTCCCTGTCTTCTCAGCAAGACCGTCTCTTATGTCTCTGAATTTCCATCCTTGGCACAGCTCCCCAGTAATTAATAAATGTTGGCTGATGCTGGTGGTGACAGTGCGAACTTTACTGTCTATCAGGCACCAATTCTGATTTCTCCGAGACAGGCCCGCCACGCTCAGGGCCAAGTCACCAAGGGGCTGCTGTGTGTGTGGCTGTTTGGGGTAAGCGGACATACGTGACATCCCTGATCTGGAATTCCTGAGAATTCGGAGCCTCTTCTCACCTGGTGGAATTTCTAGAGGCCTAGGAATCAAAGTAAACGTGGATGGGCTAAGCCTTAATTTGTGGGGAATCAAATTGCGCCCCCCTTTAATGATGGAGAAACTGAGACAGTTTGTTGATTGAATAGGGATCGTGGCCAAAGACACTGCTGGTCCAAGTTCTTGGCTTCTTGATGGGAAGGAGTGGGGCAGAGATGGCTAGTTTGTACCCCATGTCTGTTCTCCTCTTTTGACAGTAGTGGACATGGTGTAGAATGAGTAACCACTTCACATCCTCACTGCAGTGAGGTGGGGCCTGTGACTAAGGTCTGGCCAACAGGACGCAGATGGAGGTGAAGTGTGCAAATTCCAGCTCGTGACATTAAAGGCAATAAGACCCGCCCTTCTTCCCCACCTCCCTCCAAGTGGTAAGGACAACACCCTAAGGTGGCAGAAATACGAGAAAGCAGGGGCTTGGGCCCCTGGATGACACTGTAGAACAGGTCTACCACATTGGTGCTGGACTGTCTGCATTCGGATTGTTACACGAGAGAGAAATAAACTTCTTAACTCCTTTTTCCTTAAGTAAGAACTTAATGTTATTTAAGCTACTGAGAATCTGGATTTCTTTGAAAATTGGCCAAACCTATATCCTACCTGATAGAGGAGTTTCCCAAGGAAGCCTCCAGCACGTATGAGCTGGTGATGACGTTAACACCTCAGATGATGGAGCGACTATCCTATGTCAAAGGCTTTCCAAATTCTATTTTACTTGCTTGCCACCATGACCCTATGTGACATATATTATTTATACCCATTTTACAGTTAATGAAACTGAGATGCAGAGAAGTTAAGAAACTTGCCCAACACCAAACAGCTAGTCATTGGTGGAACTGGGAAGTGAGCCTGGGTCTGGCTTTGAAGCTGATGAAACCGTATCACACCTTCCAAGGGAAAAAAGTAAAGGGGGTGAAGGAGGAGAGGGAGGGAGGCAAGTGAGAAGGAAGGACAAGGAAGCAAAGTCTAGGGTAGAGTGTGGAGGACCATCAGTGACTGCCTTGAAGTTGGCCTGGAAATCGTGAGGGCAAATGTCTGCTGCCAGGGGGGTCCCCAGCTTCTGTGTCTAGGACTCTGCTTGGTCCTTTCAGAAGAGACTGGCTGCCCTGGCCCCTAGAGTGCAGCACGCAGCCACCAGATGCCAGCCCAGCTGTCAGGCTCCTGTACCTTCACTGTTCACTTCAGGGAGCAGCTTGCGCAGTGGCCTCTTCACCTCCCAGGTGCTGCTGACGAAGGAGGGCATCACCTTGAGCAGTTCGTCCTTGTCTTCCTCCCGGATCACGGGGATGGTCTCCAGGATGAGCTGCATCTGCTCCAGCTCATGAGCCCCTGGGGAGACAAACACCAGAGGGTGAAGCATGCTGCCCACATGGCTGGGGTGTGTGGAAGTGCCAGCACAGCTCCAGGAGCCTGTGCAGGGCGACCCAGAACGGGTGGAGTGGTGCAGGGCTGGGAGCCAGGGGACCTGGGTTCTTGCTGCAACTAACTTGCTCTGTGACCGCGGGCAAGTCGCATGCCATCTCTGGGGCTTGGCTTTGTCGATTGTAGAAAGAAGGGGTGGTTTCTGGGGGCTCGTCCGTTCCCCTGGTGATCTGTGCCTCTGCAAGGAACCAGACTCACACAGGCTGGGTCAGCCAGCGCTAACGTGATAGGGACAGCCTGGCCCGAGGCTTTCCAAATGCCCCTTCCCACGTGCCTCTGTGTGTGTCCTCTACCAGGCTGGGAAGGAAGCGATTTTAAGGCTAGGGGTGAGTCTTACCTTTTCAGTTCCCAGTAGGAGAAAAAAGGAATCAGAAATAACAAGTTTGGGATGTGCTGCGAGCACACTGCCACTGTGCTACCTCGGGCAGAGGGAGGAAGACAGGCTGTGCCAGGTCTGTGGGACAGGATGGAGACAAGCATTCACTCACTCATTCATTCATTCATTCATTCACTGTCATTCAACAAATAATTATGGGGCAGCGCCGTCTCCTTGCCAGGCATCATGCTGGATGCTGGGCATGGATACCACCCTCATTCAGTCTTTCTGCATCTCAGAAACCGAACTCCTCTTGTATACCCTGGTCACCCCTGAGGCTGTATCAGAGCTTTGACATTGCTGGGATGGGTCTAAATCCTTGCTGTCACCTCTGACCTCCTAACTGCTCTTCCTCCCATTCCCTCCACTTTCCCTTTTTGCATAAGTAGCCTTGCCCTTTACCCCTACCAGGTTAAATCCAACCAAGCCCCATCTTCCTTAAGAAGTCCCCCCGACTCATCCAGCTGCACAGTGCTCTTACCACCAATTCCCATGGGATTCCAGTCTTCCAGGAGCCAGTGGCTAAGGGTGGGTCTCTCTCTTGCCCTCCCTCAGTGCCCCGTGCAGCACTAAGCGTGTGTAAACGCTATGAATGCTGACCCGGAAAGTGCCTGCAGCATCAGGGTCCGCTCTGAACGAGTCCCTGGGCCTCTCTCTGCAGTCGGCTCATGGAGGGTCCATTCAGGGACTCTGGGAGCCCCCTGTGGGGTCCTCTCTCCAGATGAGCACCCCAGACTGACCTCTCACAGTGGTGGGAAGAGCAGAGGAAGGGGCTGAAAATGGAGGGTGGCTGTTTTCAGGGGTCAATCTCAAGGTGTTTGAATACAAGTGATTACTTAATTTTGAAAGTTTAGTGCTCACAAGGCTATTTTTAGCCTCTCCAGTATTTTGCCTGAAATGATAATGAAGTGCCTCCAAGTAGTGCCGTAAAAACCACAGAGCTAAGGTCAAAGAGAAAGACGAGCATGTTTTTACTGGGCAACACCAGAGGGGAAGAAAGGTGGCAAGGGGAGCAGCTTACCAGCAAAGAGCATGCGCCCCGTGAGCATCTCGGCCAGGATGCAGCCGGCGGCCCACATGTCGATGGCCTTGGTGTAGTTGTTAGGGGAGAGAAGCAGGCGCGGTGAGCGGTACCACTTTGTTACCAACCCTTCCGACAGGTGACCCTGGAAGACAAAATCCTGGGTTCCAGCGATCAGCCTTTTGCAGACACCCTCCCTCCCCTTGTCTCTCCTCATTTCCCTTCACAGAGAGACAGGACCTCTCCCGCTCTCCATCCTCTCTCATTGATCATCTGGTCAGAGCGGCTCAGGCTGGTTCGTGGGGCTCACAGGCTTTGGTGGGAGAATCTTATGAGGCCCCGGAGTTCTCCTCCGTAGAAAGGAATCCAGGGTGCCAGCGTTTTAGGAGGAATGCTCTTCCACCCCATCTTGACGTAACGATGCCTAACACTCTGCCCTCATCTAGGAGGAAGATGGACAAATAGGAGCCAGGCTCGAGTTCTTTATCACATCAACAGAGCAATGATGAGACCCTGGAACTTCATTTATTCAGTGCTGAATCTCAGAAATAGTTGTAAAATTGAAATCAAGCCAGTTTCTTTGGTGCAGATGATTAAATAAATGCTGCTCTAATGCCAGACATCAAGCCCCGGCTGAGAATGGAGGAGGCCGGCTTCATACCGGGTGCAGGCGAAAGGCTTTCAGAAGCAGCTCTGAATGGCGAGTGGACGCAGCTTTGGTTGTGTCCTGAACGCACACTCAGGCCTCCTTCCTCAGGCCTAGAGGGTCCTGGGAGTTCTACAGAGTGTCTTTTGGGGAACAGATGTTCTAGCTGGTTTCAGCCACTGCTCAATGTGTGGCCCGGGGTGAAATCCCTCACTGTGGGATACAGTGATGATGCAGGCGTTTTAGCACAGAGAGGAAAACAGAGCCAGGCAACTTGGAAATTGTTCTCTACGTAATGCAGAAAGCCGGCCAAAGAGCGAAACCTGGGAAATGTCTGTCTGGATTGTCTGGGACAATCTCTCGAAAGTGAAAAAAGAGACCTATCTGGTGGCCAAGGTCAGACAGTTGGCAGCAGGGGGCGGAATCCAATGCATGGTTCTAGGGGTAGTCTTATTATTTGCTGTTGTAATTTCCAGTTGAGCATCTAATTTTCCCCTTTGCTGATGTAAAAAAGTGTCACGGACACAGGTTAAAACATGAAAAGTTGGGAAGCCCAAGTACCCAGGAGCTTTTGGTCAGTTCATCCGAAATCTCTTTATTCGTTGAGCAAAGATGTCTTGTGTTTAAAACCTTCTGAGAGCCCTGAGTTACACTGGTTCGCTGTGACGCATATTTCTCAGAGCCGGGCCTCAAACTAGTGGAAGGAAGAAAAAAAAGACTAAAAGTGCACCCTGTCTCTGGCTTCAATGTTTCAAAATGAGCTCCTTGCAGCTTGTTAAATGTGCATCCTTTCTCTCTCCTTTGGGCCCCTGCACGTGCACCTTCCACGGATGGATGTCCTCACACCCACAGTGTGGCGAACTCACACTCAGGCCTGCTTCCTCTCAGAAGCTTCCCGACTCCCTGGGATGACGCTGGATGCCCCTCCTGGGAGCTCCAGGGTCCCTGTTTTGTTGCTATTTCTTTGCTTCTCTGCAGTCCCTCACCCCCGGGACAACTGATCGCCCCTCAAGGGCAGTGACTGTACCTTCTTTCACAGCTGTTTCTGCATTGCCTAGCCCCAAGTCTGCCTCCTAGGAAGTGTCCAATAAACACTGTTGGATGGATGGATGGATGGATGGATAAGGAACGTCTCACAGGGTCTGAGCCTCCTTCAAAATGGGGTACCTTCTGGAGGAACCACTGATCCTCTTCTTTGCCAGAACTGCTTTATGGAGAGTTCCAATTCCCACTTTCAGTGGTGGCTGAGGGGTTTACAAAAGTTGGCAGCTTTTGCCTTATGCCTTGTGTTGTTCCAAAAAGGATTGGCAAGTGTAAGTAATTTTTTTTAAAGTCAGATTTATTGAAGCACAATTTATACACAGTAAAACTTGCTCTTTTAGTGTACAGTTCCGTGAGTTTGGACAAAAGTGTAGAATCATGTAACCACCACCACAATCAAGGTCTACAGTAATTCCATCATCTCACACGTCCCCTCATGCCCCCTCCTGGTCCCCAGCCCCCATCCCCAGCCCCCTAGAAACTATTGTTTCCCATCCCTCTAGTTTTGCCTTGCACAGAACATCATATAAATGGAATCAGTGTGTGGCCTTTTGAGTCTAAATTCCTCCACTCAGTGTAGTGCATCTAGACTCATCCATGTTGTTGTAAGGACACTAGTTTGTTAGGCATTTAAGTTTGATTCTAAAAATGAAAGAGACAAGCCAGACTGTAGAAGCTCACATCTGGGTGGGTGGGTGGGTTATAAGTAAAGAATGGTCCGATTTTGTTTTCTAGTCAGAGGCTGAGACTGTCAGAGGAGGACTAGAGCAGAGCACCCGGAGGAGAGGTGACAGAGTAAACAGGCGAGTTTACTCTGATGTGCAGATGAGAAGTCTTTCATGGAATGGAATTCCCTGTAATTAACACCTGCCTATGTGCAGAGCCTGAGGCTGAAGAGAAGTGGGTGATGGTGGGGTCGGGGGGCTTCCTTCTGAAACACCTGCCTTGAAAGTGAAAGAAAGATGTTGGCATGGGCACGGCTGCCCCTGGGCCAGAATGATGGGCCAGGCCAGGATAACAGCTAAGAAAGTTCACCCCCAGCTCTTCTTAACCTTTGAATGAAAACCAAGAACCTGCTGGATTTTTGTCAGTGACTAGCTGCTTCCCTCTGGTTCCCTGTCCCTCCAGTCAGGGGATTTCCTGATGGGTTTCAGAAGCCACGGGCAGAGAATTTGGGAAGGTGTTGTGTCTTCGGCCACGCTCTGGAGCAGGAGGAGCCTGGGGAATGGGGGATGGGAACGGAGGGGAGGCTCCATCCTGGGTCTGTGGGGCAGACACGGGGTGGGGTGGGGGTCTTGCCCTGGATGTCTGAGCGGGAGAGGCGTTGGGGCTCACAACACCATACTGGTGATCTGAATTCAAGAGAGGAGTTTCAGTTGAGTGGATAGGAAGAAAGTCAGAATTTTCTAGAATTAAAAAAAAACCTTTAAAGAATACCCAGGAGTGGGGACTCAATTTTTTCAGAAGGGCCCATAAATCAGGAAGTATGCTGGCTCAGCAGAAACCCTGCACTGGTTTTTCTGCCCGAGCCTGCAGCGTGAGGGTAGTTTTAGCTTCACCTGGGTGCAGAGGACGCTGTCCTCAGGGATCAGACCTGCTCTCCCTAGGGGCTTGGCCATCAGCGGGCTGACCGCTGGGCGGGACAGTGGGCACGGGCAGGGTGCACTGTCCTGTGGGCATCACACATCACTGTGCTGCGGAGACAGGAAGCGGACACTCCCTCCCCAGTTCTCCGTGGCCACCTCTCCACTTGCAAGAGGCAAGACCAGAATCACCCTTTACTAGAGTCCCTTTCCTCCTGCCACCCTGTCCCTTGGTGTTCCTGGTGAGAAGCCGACCTGGAGGCAACAAGGCACAGTGGACATGGTTTCCTGTCTAGACCCTGCCATGGGAGCCTTTGGGCTGCTTCAGCTATCACTCTAACCAGCCCGTTCCGCTGGCCTTTTAGGGTCACGTCCAGCCAGTGGGAGGCTTTGACTCTGAAAGCCTCAAAGGTGTTTGGAAATAGTCTGGTAGCAGCTGCCCTGGGAGGAGGGTAATTAGGGGCCCCCACAGATCCAGAGGGAAGGTATCATTAAAGCTCTGAGTATTTTGCAGAAGGTTCAGGCCAGGAAACCACATTCAGTCCCAGCTGACTGCCAGGGAATTCAGAACAGCGTCAGTCAAACTCACCCCAGAAAGGTGGGTGCCCACCCGCTGCTCTGGGTGGGCCTTTGCTCTGTTCCGCTTGCCCTCTGGGCCTCCGCTAGCCCAAGCCCATCTCTTAGGTCTGGGAGTCGGAAGGCTGGGGGAGAAGGCTTGGTCCCATAAACCTCTGACTTCACCCTTTAATGAGAATGTGTCTATTGGGCCCTCACAGAGATAGGGCAGATTTAAATGAGGACAAGAGTCTTCAAGAATAAAAGTGGAGTCAGCTGTAGCTCTGTGCGTGCGGTGGGGGTGGGAGCGATGACAGGGCGGGAAGGGTTGTTCCTCGGCTCACACTGAACGGCTGTTTAGGGCCACCCCCGCTTCCAGGTCAGGACAGAGGGGGGCCGGGGGGCTCTGAAGTGTCCCCTTCCCAACCAGAAGTTTCTGACGTGTGTCCTGGGAGGCCAGCATGTGTCATCCCTGCGTGGCAGAAATGCAGACGATTAAGATCACCCCTGTCTTTAAAGAGCGTGTCATGTGGTTACAGAGGTGAAATGTTCAATATGAGAAGATGATCAGAAGGACCGGGAAATTATCTCAGCCAGCACTTGTGTAGGGCGTGCTCTGTGCTGGGCACTGTTAGCATTTCAGCGGATTTCATGCAGCAGTCCCTCCATCGGCCCCTTGATGCAGGCTCTCTGCAGAGCAAGGACACAAGTTGCCCAAGGTCCCGTGACTGGGAGGTGGTCCAGGGTGTCTGGCTTCAGAGCCCACCCATACTCTAACCTGGGCACTGCTGGACCTCCACTACCCTGCAGACTAGAGTCAGTGGTAAGCCTCAAGGGAGAGGCATGCTCAGAGCACAGAGAGGGTGGTATTTGTCCTGAGGGCGGTCAGCACAGGTGTCATGGAGATGAGGTTCGAGTTGGTCATCATGGATGGGGACATCTTGGATAGTTGTGCTGGGGGACATTTGAGGTGGTGATGGAGACAGTGGGAGTAAAGGTGGAGACAGGGAGACCTAGAATGTGCTCAGAGGACAGACCATCTGGACATGTGGACAAATGGGATGTGGGGTGGGGGCGCTGAGAATGACCTTTGTTCTGAAGGTCAGGGGTCCCCAAGGACCCCCCTGCAGGGGAGGTGATTGTGAGATGTGTAGGTTGGCCAAAGCTACAGACCTGCAGTCCTCTGATCGCCATCTCGGATGAGCCCCCCAGGGAACCCTCAGGCCCCTCCCAGTTTGAGAACTGGCAGGAAGGACGCAGGGAACTGTGGAGGGTTGCAGAGCGGGGATGAGGGGCTGGTGGGTAGGACAGGCAGGCCTGTGCCTGGGGTGGGGCCCCTGCGGATTCTGATTAGTGGGAGAGATGTTGGTGGGGCCCTTGGAGCAACTGCAGTCTCTGCACTCCCGTCCCTGGATGCCTGGAGAGGCTTGTAAGCTGGGCTGGCAGCAAAGATGCTGCTCTCTGGGTAGCAGGGGGTTAACAGGCTCCGAAGGCCTGGGGAAGGTCCCCAGGCGTCACACTTCCTTGGAAGCAGGTAGGAATGCACACATGTACTCCTTGTACTCCTGTCTGATCTAGAAGAAACTGGGTCAAAGGGAAAAAGAAATCAGGCTATGGACAAGTAAAAAGTTTCCACGTTAAGAGGTCAGCGGGGGCTGTTGCACGGATGCTGATTCTTGTGGAGGGTGCAGGTTACCAGCGGATCTCCCGGGGGGCGTGCTGGGGAAATCAAAAGCATGTCACACGAGGAATGGGAAAGACTGGGCACTTTGGGCCTGGAGAGCATTGCGGGGACCACGAGAGCTGCCTTTGGACACGGGCAAGGCTGGCCTATGGACGAGGGGTTAAGCTTGTTCTCTGAGGACAGATGTGAGCCAAAGTGCGAGGCAGAAGTGCAGGCAATATGATAATAACAGCTCACATTTACTGAGATCCTCAAACTGCTCTAATGCTTCATATGGATTAAGTCATTGCATCCTTGCAACAACCCCATCAGGTAGGGACTCTCATTACAGTCATTTGATGGGATGCATCTGAGGCACAGAGAGGGTAAGCAACCTATCCATAGTCACACAGGCTTGGTCACACAGGTTGTAAGCAGCACAGCTGGGATTCAACCCCAGGTTGTGCGAATGTAGCACCTTTGATCTGAATATGCAGCTCTACTGCCTTTCACATTTAAGATAGCCCTCTAAAGCCACTGCGCTGTCCAAAGGGGCTGGGCTCCTAGACAGGCAGAGGCAGGCAAGCACAGAACGGACAAGCTCATGGGAAGATGTGCCAACACCACCCTCCAGGGCACAGCTCCGCAGAATTTGGTGTGTGCTCTTGGGGACCTGGGCTGAATACATGCAGATTCCACTTCATCAGGCAAACAAGGTGATGCCGATGCTGCAGGTCAGGGAACCGCCCTCGGACCAGCAAGGCCCTGGGGGATCGTTAACATCCTGTCCTGCCCGAGGGATTTATGACTTGCCTTGCTCATAGGCCAGACAGATTCCTCTAACTGAACAGCAGACTGACCTGTAATAGGGGTTAATTCTTTGTGTTACAGACACTCATCAAAAGATCATTTAGAAAAACACCACCCTCCCAGAGGCGCGGTTTAAGCAGAAGTACAGGGCCTCCCTCTCCCTCGTCTCTTTCCTCTGGAGGTATAATTCTTATTTGTGCCAATATCCATGTCAGGCATGTTAGAAGGCTTTTGGAAAAGAAAGAACACCACAGCAGAATAGCCTTTCTCATCGCTGACTTCAAACTCATTCTGTTAAACTCATTTCCATGAAAATATGCAGCAGGGAATCTCTCAGGCTGAGGGAAGGAACACACAGTCTTAAAAGCCCAGTGTGCAGCACAGGCATTGGCGAGCTACCTGGGCATTCTGTTTATGCAGCTAAAATACACATAGTGATGAAACAGTATGGTTACATCAGTGGCACTGAGTTTTCATTAACTTCTAAGATGTCTTAAATGCTGATCTGCTGCCTGCCTTTCTCAGGGCTGCCCCTACCCCACTCCATGCTCTAGCGGGCGGGGAATGGGGGGGATCCTGTCCAGTGAAATTCATCTCTTCCCTGGTTTCCATGGAAATCAACCAAAAGCTCAGTTAAGCTCCTCTAGGCCTACAGCTCCCATGTGGTCCATTCCCTTTATTTTTTTATTATGATAGAATTGCTTTAAAAGAACTTATTTTTTAATTTACTTTTTAATTGAAGTATATCTGATTTACAGTGTTATGCTAGTTTCTGGTGTACAGCATAGTGACTCAGTGATACATATATATTCTTTTTCCATTATAGGTTATTACACAATACTGAATATAGCTCCCTGTGCTATACAGCAGGACCATGTTGTTTATCTTAAAAAATAACTTATTTTTAATTGCGGGAAAATGCACATAACGTAAAATTTACCACCTTAATTGTTTTTAAGTACAGTTCGGTGGTGTTAAGTCCATTCACATTGTTGTGCAACCATCCCCACCGCTCGCAGAACTGAATCCGTACCCGTTAAAACAACAGCTCCTCATACTCCTTCCCACAAAGCCCATGCGACCACAGTTCTGCTTTCGGTCTCTCTGAATTGGATTCTGCGTAAGTAGAACAGGTAGTACCTATCCTTCTGTGACGGGCTTATTTCACTCAGCGCCATGTTCTTCTCTTAAACAGCAGGAAATGGGGGGCAATGGAGTTGGGCTTCTTTCTAAAAAGCACTTCCTTCAAATGTGGCTATCCTCTAATTCAGCGAGAGCTCACCACCACAGATGAAAGCTTTGGACATTATCCTCCTGGGGTTCAAATCACCAACTCTGAATTCTACTACAGTTCAAAGACATGACAAAATGTTTAGTTTGTTCGGAGATGTGCCAGGATCATTGGCTCCACCGCCATCCATCATCCTCACCAGGGCTGGGCTGGTTAGATAGCTGGGTGGGGGGAAGGCTTGGCTCAGCTCCCTTGGCCCCTCCGTTTTCCAGTTGGCTTGTGCTGCTGGTCTGGACGCTTCCCTCTGTGGGGCGCTAGCGTCCTGGGATTCTGCATCACAGCTGCTAGCACTCTCTCTAAGTGAGGGGCCATGCTGGGCCAAGGTGATTAATTTTTAATGGGCCGGTCTGTGAGCAAATGGCTCCTTTTTGGAAGATGCATTAACCGCCAGGCCATAATTAGAGATCTGTCTCGCTGATTTTCAAGGGGAAATCTGGCAGCACCCTGGAACAGCAGCTCTCAAACCTGACACATGTTAGAGGCACCTGGGGAACTTAAAATCCCAAGGCTCAGGCCACCCACTAAGCAGATTGCATCAGATTCTCCGGGGGACGACCCAGGCAGGCATCAGTCATTTGAAAACTCCCCAGGTGACCCCAGTGCGGCATCCTAGGGATGCTCAGCTCATCGCCTTCGGAAAGGTAAGCAGGATTTTCACAGCCCCCCAGTTAGTGCAGGCTTCTATTTCTGGCTCTGCTCAAATGAGATGAATCCTTGAGTAGCCACAGCGGTCTTCTCCAGACGGCTGACCCACGGGAGGTAAACATTTACTGGACAATAACCAATAATCACAACAGCTGCCATTTATGGAGAACTTAGGATACGCTCGGCACTGGACCAGGTGCTGCTGTATTATCAGTGCATTTAATTATCAAAATGACTCTATGAAAAAAGTATAGAGAGATGGGTCACCAACCAAGGCCCAGCTGGCAGTGCCAAGATTCCATCCCAGCAGGGAACAAAACCAAGACCCTGTAATCACAGAGCGTACATTTTTGGTAGGAAAAACAGCTGAACAAACAGATGTATAAGATGTCTGGTGGAGAGAGTGCTAGGAATAAAAAATAGAGCAAGATAAGGAGATAGAGTGATGGGCTGCGTGGGTGGTCCAGGCTTTTCCGACAAGGGGACATGCAGGCAGAGATGCGACTGAATCACAGGACTGGCCTTGTGGGGGAAGACGATCAGAGAACCCGATCTCTGAGTTGCAAGGCTTCCCTTTCTGTCCCCCACTCCTGTCCCCAAATCAGGGCACCTTTCTCATCTTCCCCCTCCAGCAAACCCTCCTCTCATTAACTCCCAGGTGAAAATAACTGAGATCCAGTTAGAAGGGGGAGGAACTAACATTCGTTAAGCATCCATTATGTGTAAAGGATTTTGCCAGCTTTTGCTCAGCTGACCTCCTGACAATCCTGTAAGATAGGTATTCATTTTATCATTTTATATTCTGGGGAAATTCTTGTAGGCCCCTCCCCTCTGTCTGGCTTAGCTGGTAAGCCTTTGTGTTCCTGGACCCCTTCATCTCCAGATTCACAATTCCATAGGAGGGGGTGCCCTGAAGGCAGGGACCAGCTGTTTTATTTGTACCTGCCATGCAGGGTAGGTACCCATTTTAAATGCAGTAAATGAACTGGATAAAAATCTAAGCCAAAGGAATGACTGGTACGCCTGTGGTGGAATTTCAGACACTGACTACCCGTCAAGAGGAGACTGAAGTTTGCTGGCCCTGTTTGAATCGCAAAACAAAGGTAGCCACCACGGTCAAGTCCAGCCTTCTGAAACCTGGCGGGTCCCTCAGGTGTTTGGGTGTGGCTGCAGATTTCTGTTTGACACCACCTTGATGCTGCGCGTGGTAGCCGGGCCCTTGGGGATGCTCATCTTGCCCAGGGCCAACCTAGAGGTCAGACTTAGGGCTTCAGTGCAGTCCTTCTAATTCAGTTTCACAAAGAGAATATTCATCCCCAAGCACCACCAAGTAATGTGTATAATATTTTCCAGGTGCTGACCATGTGCTAGGTGCCGCCTGAGCTCTCTCTGAGTTCTTTCAATTATCAGTCTCACAAGGTGGACCCTGTTACCGCCCCTGCCGGGAGTGACTGGGGGAGCTGAAGCAGGCCAATGACACAGTACCAAGGTCACCAAGTCCCTCAGCAGACAGTTCAGCCCCAAAGTTTCCCTCCTGCTGCCAGCCACCCCATTTCTGCTCACACACCGTCCCCTCACCAGAGGATTAAATTTCTCTCCTGTCCGGCTTGCAGAGAGCCTGCCCGGAAGAATAAAAGGCACTTCGTTGGGCTATTCACTTCTCGGAAGGGACTGAGGTATAAACCGCCACCTTTATTGAAGATAACTAAGATGGAATCCACAGACTAAGAAAAGTAAGAGACCGTTCATTGTCTTGCTTGTTTCCATCCAGGATCAGGTGGAACTTGGAAGGGCAGATTTTAGAGCCCGCAGGTGGCTTCATTACACAAATGGCTGTGGGAGGGGACTGGCATTGGGCTGGAGAAAGCTTACCGAGAGGTGTCAGAGTCCCTCTCTCACAGGGTCCCAAGAAGGGCAGGAGTCTAGGGAAGGAGGCAGTGGTCATTCAGGGCTCTGGCCGCAGGAAGGCCCCTGACCAGGGCGCAGCCTCTATGTAGGAAGGAAGTAGCTACAGGCAGAACTTGGTAGAAGGAGCCTGAAAAGCCCTGATGATGCTGAATTTGACTACCTGCCTGTCCTGGTGAAAGGCTTACCCACAGTCACTGCTTTTAGTTAAGGCGGTGTTTCCTGAAACAGGCCCACATCCCAGAGATGCTAATGGAGAGGTGAGGTGTGTGGACAAACACCCCTGGGACAGGTTGGTAGCAACCAACAGGTTTATTTATAGAGTCTCAGGGATTAAGGATGTAGCACCTGCCACATCTCTTTGTCCACATAACCATTTTTTTTTCGAGGTGCATCTTGGGGACCAATCTTGCTCAGGATATGCTCTGGGAAATGCTAGGTAAAGTCCTTGTTAACACGTTTACCTGGGAGAGGAAACATACTAACCTGTTTGCCCATTGTCTTCTTTTTTTTAATTTTTAAAATTTTTATTGAAGTATTGTTGATTTACAATGTTGTGTTAGTTTCTGGTGTACAGCACAGTGATTCAGTTATAAATATATATATATATTCTCTTTTTCATTATAGGTTATTACAGGAAATTGAATATAGTTCCCTGTGCTATGCAGTAGGACCTTGTTGTTTATCTATTTTATATGTAGTAGTTTGTATCTGCTAATCCCAAACTCCCAATTTATCCCTCCCCTACCCATTCCCCCTTTGGTAACCATAAGTTTGTTTTCTATGTTTGTCAGTCTGTTTCTGTTTTGTAAACAAGTTCATTTTTGTCATTTTTTTGATACCACATATAAGTGATATCATATGGTATTTGTCTTTCTCTGTCTGACTTACTTCACTTAGTATAATAATCTCTCGTTTCATCCATGTTCCCGCACATGGTATAATTTCATTCCTTTTTATGGCTGAGTAGTATTCCAGTGTGTGTGTGTATGTATGTATATATATATATACACACACACCACATCTTCTTTATCCAGTCATCTGTCATCAGACATTTAAGTTGCTTCCATGTCTAGTCTATTGTATATAGTGCTGCTATGAACATTGGGGTGCATGTATCTTTTCAAATTAGAGTTCCCTCTGGATATATGCCCAGGAGTGGGATTGCTGGATCATATGGTAAGTATTTTTAGCTTTTTAAGGAATCTCCATACTGTTTTCCATAGTAGCTGCACCAAACTACATTCCCACCCATAGTGTAAGAGGGTTCCCTTTTCTCCACAGCCTCTCCAGCATTTATTGTTTGTGGACTTTTGAATGGTGGCCATTCTGACTGGTGTGAGGTGAAACCTCACTGTAGTTTTGATTTGTATTTCTCTGATAATTAGCGATATTGAGCATTTTTTCATGTGCCTATTGGCGATTTGTATGTCTTCATTGGAGAATTGCTTGTTTAGGTCTTCTGCCCATTTTTGGATTGGGTTTTTTGTTGTTGTTGTTGTTGTTATTAGGTTGTATGAGCTGTTTGCATATTCTGGAAATCAGGTGCTTGTCAGTTGCATCATTTGCAAATATTTTTTCCCATTCTGTAGGTTGTCTTTTTGTTTTGTTTATAGTTTCCTTTGCTATGCAAAAGCTTATAAGTTTAATGAGGTCCCATTTGTTTATTTGCTTTTATTTCTATTGCCCAGGTAGACTGCCCTAGATGAACATTGCTAAGATTTATGTCAGAGAATGTTTTGCCTATGTTTTCTTCTAGGAGGTTTATAGTGTCTTTTTTGTCTCATGTTTAAATCTTTAAGCCATTTTGAGTTTATTTTTTGCGTATGGTGTAAGGGACTGTTCTAACTTCATTGATTTACAAGCAGCTTTCCCAGCACCACTTGTCCAGCATTTATCATCTGTGACTTTTGAATGATGGCCATTCTGACCAGTGTGAGGTGATTCCTGCTGTAGTTTGGTCCATCGTCCTCTATTCCATCAGCAAAGATTGCTCTCATTGTGGCTCCTGCTGAAATGCACTCTGGGTGCGTGGAAACTCACTCTGCCTCCCCCACTAGTCTCTAGGCCTCTGAGGACAGGGGCCATTGGATTTGCTGTGCCTTCTGGGGTCTGCAGGCAGAAGAGGTTGAAGGCAGGGTGACTGCACATTACAAAAGCTATGTGGGGACTGCAGGCTGCTGGGTGAGTAGCACTGAGGCCACCGCTCCATAGGGCACGGAAGAAGCACAGGCTGCATGGATGGGGAGGAGGGCGGCAAACCAGCCCATCTCCGATGTTGCTTCTGTCTGGGTCGGAGCCCAGGCTCAGTAGCCCTGCCTACCCTGACCTCGAGAAGGGCCTTCTCTCCTTGGTGACCAGGTAGCCACCCTGGATCACATCATCAACCAGAACTCATATCCTCTCTTTGCAGAAACATGTCTCTTCCTAGAAAAACTGCTGGTCCCTGGCGTGTCGCACTTTTGAAGTGCCCCACTGTTGAGAGGCTGCTGGGGTCACCTGCTCCAGAGAACGCTGGTCCCATTTCAGACAGATATTTTGACAGGCATTTATGAAGTGTTTCTGGTGGGCCTGGCCCCATGTGTGGCACTCTGAGTCAGGGGACTGTCCTCAGGGAGCTTACAACCCAATTCTGGGCAGTGAGTGTGCTGGTTTTACTGCAAAGATAATCATTAAACAAGCACCAAGTCAACACTGGGCGAGTGAGGGAAGATGGGGCAGTCACCATGTGGAGGCTGAAGCAGAAAGGGGGCCTGAGTGAATCCAGGCTGGGGAGGGGGGTGTTCCTTAAAAATAGGAAATTATGAACATAAAATTAGGTATGAAAATAAGTATTTTTGAATCAGAAAATGGCAGCACATTAAAAATTATAAAAAGCTGGCAAATGCCACAAACATGACGACACTCATAAAAATAACATTTTTACTAATTAGCTGCTTGGCAAACTGTGGGTAGCCAACATGTGAAGGGACTGCAAAATCTCTGATCATCTCTTCTCTGACAATCTTGTAATATAATTTTTTGCAGACAGAATTTAAAGCTGATTCAGTCTTTGAAAGACACTGGAAAAGATAACTCAGTCTTTCCTCTGATACGGTTGCTCCTTTCGTATGGCTGATATTTTCAAAGTTTCTTTCACCTTCTAAATGAGTTATCACTAATGTCATAAAATTTCAGGATTATTGTCATGTTGGGGAAAAACCTTATTAGGTATTCCTCTGTATATGAGCTCTAAGATTTGGGGGAATTTCCAGTTTTCTTAAGTGGCGACTAAATTTCCATGCTTTGAAATGATGAGATTCATCAACTGTCCATGATGTCTTAGCTGTCACATTCCATGAGTCGCAGGGTCGGCCCTGCTACTTGTCATAACACCGTGAGTTGACCTGGTGGACGCAGAGGGATTCCTGAAAAGATATTCCTATACCAAGATGCTGGCACTGACTTAACTCTATATGGACGTAACTGCAAACTGTATCAACATATCCTACTAAATGCATTCCCTAGCCCAACCTACCTTTGATTAGAGTCTCTGAACGCCCGGTCACACCAGCACCACCGAGTGTAAGGGGAAATGCAGTGGAGGGCAAGTCAGAATGCAAATACACCACTTCCTGACAAATTGCTGCCAAAACATCTTTCTTTGCAAATATTACAAAACTACGTGACCATGCTGGACCACGTTGTTAGGGTCCCTCTCAGGGCCTTGGTGGAGGGGGGTGCGGGTTTTGCAAGTGAAAAACCCTGAGTTGAGTCATGAGCTTCACGGTAAATGTGATCCCCACCAGGAGTAAAACAGCCCAAAGAAGGGGTCAGTGGCCAAGGAGGACAGAAAGATTTGGGAGAATTTCCAAGATTTTCAAGCTAGGAAAGCAGGTACACATTCTAGGAACCCTCCTTGGAGTAAACCATGGCAGGGCCCGTCTTCTCATCGGCGGAGGCAAACTGTCTAGAGAGCTGGTCACCTGGTGAGTTTGTGAAGAGGCCTGAGGAGGAATTTGCATCAGGAAGGATTACTGGAGGTTGAAGGATGTCTCCTTTCCTCCTCATACAAACAAGCTGGTACGATTTTTATCCACCAGAAAAGGTCTGTCTGATTTTTGGCCATCTAAAAAGTCCTCGCCACCTCACTCCCTTGAATTGCTTTACTAAGGGCCCAGACCCCTTGGTTTCAGTTTTAGAGGAACAACTAGACAAGCAAATTCCTTGCTTCCTCCGAGCAAATATGCAGGGATTATATTCTCAACTCTCAGGAATGCATTGGAAAGACTTTGGAGAACTAAGGGAGGTAGGAGAACGCAAAAGCCCTGGGCGCTTAGAAGGCGGTGGGGGTCTGTGGAGGGAAAGGGCCCAGGAGGTGGGAGTGGGCACCAAAGAAAAAGTCTGCCTTCTTCATAGTTTTCCACCGCCCCACTCAGTGGGTCCTGCCCGCCCTTGGCAGATGGTTCTGCAGAAGAGTGGTGATCTTTGTTTCACTGTTTATGACAAAGCATTGCCAGTGACTTGGTTTTCAAAACTATAATAGACACAACAGTTGATGTGTGAACCTGTAGTTTATTCATTTTCTTAGCTGTATAGTATTCCAGTGTCTTCAGAGAGAGAGAATTTGTGAAGAGGTACTAGGTATTCTTTTGTTAGGTTTGCTTCTAGCTATCTGCTACATAAATAAAGAATTTGGCTGGTCTTTAGTCCCAGTTCCTGGCAGGGAGCCTCTAGACCCTCTGGAATTTCCTAAGTGATAGGAGTGTCTTTGTGACTCATGAAGGACCCCTGGACAGTTGCAGGATGGGTCTGGCCCAAAAGACCATATAATTAGAGGACTAAGGGGTTGGAGATTCAGATCATTCAGGTGGTCAATGATTTAATCAATCATGCCTCAGCAGTGAAACTGCAATAAACACTCTGGACACTGGTTGAGTGATACACAGTAATCTGCTGAGAGGGTGAGCAAGAATTTGTCACATTCAGGACCCTCCTAGACCGTGCCCTATGGGTCTCTTCTTTCGACTGTTGTGATTTGTATCCTTTATAATAACACTGTCATCTTAAGTAAAGGGCTTTCCTGAGTTCTGTGAGTCTTTCAAGTGAGGTGGTATAGGAGCCCCCAGATTTGTAGCCTGAGCACTCCCAAATTTGTAGTGCATGACTTGAAGTGAGGGCAGCCCTACGGGGGGACTGCCCTTAACCTGTGAAGTTTGTCTTAACTCTGGGTAAGAACCGAATTACTAGGTTACCAAGTATTGTTTGATTGCTATTATAAGTGGTACATTATTTAAAATTATGTTTTCTGCTTTCAGCCAGTGTACAGAGATGAAGTTGATTTTTGTATACTGATCTTATATTCAGCAACACTACTAAGGTCTTTTTATTAAATCTATTAATTTGCCTGTAGATTGAGGTTTTATTTAGACAACCAGATCATCTGTGAATAATAACAATTTTGCTTGGCAAGGACTAGTGCAATGATGACAAGAAGTGGCAACCGTAGCACGTTCTTACTTAAAAAAAAAAGCTTTTAACATTTCATTATTAAGTATAACATTGTTGAAGATTTCTGGTCGAAACCATTTTTTAGATGAAAGAAATTCTTTTATTCCTAGTTAGTATGAGTTTTTATCCTTCACAGATATTGAATTTTCTGGAATATTTTCCCATCTTTATTCAGATGATCATGTGGCCTTTTTCCCCTCCTTTTGTTTCTCGTTAAGTCAACATAATAAATTTTCTAATGTTAAACCAACTTTACAATCCTGGGATGAATTCAATTTGGACACAATTTTTTTTTATATATTGGGGAACTTGGTTTGTTCTGAGTTTTTGTAACTATGTTCGTAAGTGAAAGGGCTCTGTCATTTTCCTTTCCATATCACACTTGTCTGGTTTTGGTAGCAAGGTTATAATGCAGGGGAGCATTTCTCTTTTTCTATTCTCTATGAGAGTTTGATAAAAATCAGTTATTTGCTATTTAACAGTTATTTGTTATTTACAGAACTTGTCTGTAAAACTCTAGGGCTTGAGGTTTTCTTTGTGAGATTTTTTATTGGCTTTTCTGTTTATTATTGTTATTGGTGGGGAGGGAATTAGGTTTATTTACTTTTTTTTTTAATGCAGGTACCCGGGATTGAACCCAGGACCTCATGCATGCTAAGGAGGCAGTCTATCAATTGAGCTATACCCTCCCCTATGGGATTTTAAACTATTGATTCAGTTTCTTTAATGGTTACTGCGTTATTGAGCTGTTCTTTCCACTTCTTTTCTGAATGCTGGGACAGGGCAGTGAACAAAGCAGATAAACTGCAACCTGTACTGTCCACATGCTACTCTTGTAGGGCAGGTGTTTTTATTCCTATTTTGCAGATGAGTAAAGTAAGGCTTAGAAAATAATGCCGTGACCCAGCCAGTTAAGTGCTGAAGCTGTGAATGAGCCGGCTCTTGTTTTGAACAGCTGTGCTATACTCCCCATCAGCAATTCTCACACTGAATCACCTGGAGGGCTTGTTAAACTCAGATCCTTGGGCTCCACCCCCAGAGAGTTTCCGACTCAGAGTCTGGAGCGGGGCCAGAGAACGTTCATGGCTAAAAAGTTCCCAGGTGATGCTGATGCTGCTGGTCTGGGGACCCCACTTTGAGAACCGCTGCTCTGTATGCAGGACCAAGACTGAGTTCCTCGCTGCTGCTTTCACACCCTTCCCCCTTCCCCTCCTCACCACGTCTCTCTTCTGAGTGTGCACAGGGGGCCCCACATCGGGCTGACTCCCTGCATGCTCCCAGGACCTCACCCCACCGCTGCCAGCCAGTCACCATCTGTGTCTAAGTGTGTAATTGCCCCTAATTAAACACGTTCTCACTTACACTCCACGTAAACAAGTTACGCTGGGAAAAGGGGCTGTTCCTGCACCTGACTTCTCAGGCTATGTCACGGGCAGCACGCAGCTCACGTCAGCTGATGCTGACTGCGTCAGCGCCCAGCTGGATGACGACGAGGGTCCTTGGGTCCGGAAAAGACCCAGGACTGGAACCACACGGGTTTTCAGGGTGGGTGCTCCTTGGTCCTCCCTTTCTCCATCTCCGTGTTGATGGTGACTTTAATGGTTCTTTTTGGCTTGTTGCAGTACCTTCAGACTCATCAGCCCGATCCCTCTGGTTCTTCCTCATCGGCCCCCCTCTCCCGCCTTCTCCCTCTTCTCCCTGGGGTCCCACTCTGCCGGGGATGAGACGTCCACCACCCCTGCCCTCATCTGGAAGGGCTCCTCCCTCCTTCCCACTGACATCCTAAAAACCCTGCGAGGCTCACATCATGCCCCACCTCCTCGGGACGTCCTCTTTGATCCCTCCAGCTCCAAATCACCTCTAACTTAGAAGGAAAAAGGGACCAGAAGGGGAGGCAGGGAAAGGAGAGGCTCCATCTGTGTCACTCATTCCACACTGGCTAGGTGCCACCTTGTCTGACTGGCTAAGATTTTAGTCATCGTTCTGTCTTTCCAGTTGGATCATCTGCTCCCGACAGGCAGGGAGCAGCAGTCATAGTCAACGCTGCTATTTATCCAGGGCTTAGCATTCAGACTGATTTCTCAGAGTGACCAGGTGAGGGAGTAGCCTAGTCTTCCTCTTATAGTGTCCAGCACAGACGTTCCACATTCTGCTGCTGGCGACTGCGGTGACAGGTTACTGACTGACATCTGAATGCTACTCTCTTTCCTCCTCTTCCAGGCAGGATGGTGTGGGTGCAGAGTGAAAAAGCGACCAGTGTCAGATCTTTCTGGTGAATCAGTGGCTACCAACATGGTGTCACCGAAGCCCGCTCTATGCAGATAATTCCCGGGGCCTGATCCTCCCACCTTCAGAATAAATTACACGGGGTAACACCCTGGGTATGCAGGAAGCCACCGTTCAAATGCAGAAAGACACCTGCCATTCATTCAACAAGTATTAAATTTTCACAGCTGGGGAGGTACACACAGACATGAGCCTGCATTAAGGAGTTTATAACAGGCTCTGCTGGGTAGAGAGGACACCACGAGGAGCAGGAATGCTTGGTTAGTTGAGTCTCGTTGAGGAGTTTGCCCGTTGTCTCTCAGCAGGACTCTGGGGGAACAGGACACCAGAGGTGAGGAGGAGGGACACGTTTGGCCCATGAGACAGGGATTATTAAGGGCACTGATAGCCCTGGGTGGGCTGGGGACCCTCCGTGCATGGGTCGGGGGTGGAGGGGGGTTAGTGGAGAGTGGAGACTGAGAACCCTCCATCTAAGCTCAGTGGCTCAGCCCACCTGGGGCAGCCCTCAGAGAACCTGAACCCAGCAAGACTGGGACGTCCCTGGGGGAAGTCGTTCTGGAAGACCAAGATTTCCAGAGAGCAGAAGGTCTGCCCTGTGTGTACAAAGCCCCATGACTTTCTTTTGATTTTAATTGTTTGGGATAGAAATATTCCCTAAATATCCAAGACAACATTTTCAGTAGCTTCACAGTCTTCTCTTTCTCCCATGCTTTTTTTTTTTTTCCCAAGCAGCAGGACCTTTTTGATTTTCCCCATCCAAAGTCTTGCAAATACTGAGCACTCCTTTTTGAATCAGAGATGGGAAGTCACAGTCCTGCTCAGGGGCCTCCCCTGCATCCCTGTGCCACCCCTGGGCAGAACCCCGGGGCTCCAAAGAACACATATGAAAGCATATGTGGTGGAAACAGCACTGGACGGCCAGTCAGAAGTCCTGGAGGGAAGCCTGGCCCTCCCGCTCACCAGGCACGTAAGCCGAGGCCGGCCTCTTAGCCACACTAAGTCTTAGTCTCCTCATCTATCAAATGGGGGACAATAATATGAGCCCTGCCTTTCCCTTAGGATTATCGTGGGAACCAAATGATAATCAAATATGTGGACAGTACATGCACACTTGAAAGTGCTCCCCCCTCAAGGTCCTGTTGTCCTTCACGTTATACACATCACTGACTGCTTAAAATGCACTGTGATTTAACATCCTTTCTGCAGGGTCAAGAATTTGAACATCATGGTTCTGAGCCATCACACACTGCAGCTCTCAGAAATCAAAGGGAGGCAGAAGCCCCTTTCAAGAGCCTGATGCCTGTGACTCTTTGTTCTTTGTGATGTTGGCCTTTCTATTTTTCCCCGTCTCCTTCCTCGTCAGACTACCGGCTGTCACTTCCCTCCACTCTAAGGGTGCCTGTCTACTCCCTGGTTTGCTGCCTCTGATCCACCGTGGACTTGACAACCGGATAATGAAGTTTATGAGAGCTGCGTGTGAAGTGAGGGTACACAGACTCAGGCAAAATGTACAATAAACTCCATGTCCGGGCTACGCACCATCTGTTCAGCAGCCAAGGATCCTTTTGACTTCCGTTTTGCCTGTGGCTCAGATGAACGAGGCTGTAAAACAGAGGAACTGCTGTTCTCACTCCTGAGCTCAAAACTTCTGCTCAGCTTGGGAGCCGCCAGCCAATCCTCACACGTGCTGTCCCACTGCAGGACCCCACAGGAGGACCCTAGATCAAAGCTGAGGTGACAAACAGGTGTCCTTGTGCCAAGTTCTCTGACCCCAGGTTCTGGCTGCCTTTGGTTCTTTGGGTTTCATCCTTGCCGCGAGCCCTGCTCTGTTCCACCAAGTAATAAGAAGAGCTCCCATTTCTTGAGGGCTTCCCACCCCTGCCAGGCGCTTTGCATTCTTGATCTCAGTTTATCCTTAACACACCTGGCTAAAATAGATGCTGTTATTTCCTTCTTACAGGTATGAAAACTGAGCTCAGAGAGGATGGGTGACTTGCTCAAGGTCACATAAGTTTTAAGAAGTAGAATCAGGGCTGGAACCCTGACTGCTGCTCTTCAGAGTTCCCTCTCCTGGGCTCTCAACAGTGAATCCAAGGCCCTGCTACATCCTGGATGTCCAGAGTCTCTCTTACAAGAGGCAAGTGAGTGGTCAGCACCAGAAACCTCACACATACCTTTTAGCCTGTGGAGAACAGGAAAGATGTCCTCCGGAGAGCAGGATTGGGGTGCATCACCAGGACTGGGGGAGGCCCTGCTCTGGATGAGAAAACCCAAGGCCCAGGCTACAGGGAGAGAAGAGTCAGGTGGTGTGGTTTCTGGAGCAGCAGGGAGGTTGCCTGAAAAACACGAGGCCACCTGCTGGCTGATGCCTGAAAATTCCTTAACCTGGGATTCAACCTTCTCTTTCACAGTCGAGAGTAAAACTTAAAACAGAAACATCTCCCAATTCTGTGGCCATACATTAAAATTCATGCCAAAGTGTAAATGACTGATACCAGCTCCCTTTTTAAGATCCATGGAGGGTTTTGAGAGAAGGAAGAGGTACCCAGTGGTGCTCCTGTGGGCATAAGGAAGGATGGGAAAGACAATGGGGGACAGCAAACTGAGAATGGAAGCTCTAATGTGGGCAAAAGAATGCAAGAGGGGAGACTGAGAGATTACCGGATCTACCAACTCTGCAGTATTGTCTAAAACTGGTCCTGGCTTCAGATAGTCTCACTCTCTTAAAACATGGGAGACATTCTCTGCACAAAGGTGCACTGGGCCTGCTGAAAATCTTTAAGTAAAATCCGAGAATGATTTAAAAAACCTATTTTGCAAAGGAATTCTTCAGGCTTTTTTTTTTTTTCAATGCTCTGACTTGAAGATGATTGGTTTTGGAAAATTGCCTCTACTTGAATGCCACATGGGCATTTAAATGACAACGTGTCCGTAGGAGATTCCATATATAGGCAGAGTAGGCTCTTATAAATAATATGCCCTAGGATCTATTAAGTTCAATGGCACTGCTTTTCATAACGTTTCTCCATCAGAAAACAAAATGTTAAATTTCAACTGACCAGGAATCCTTTCTTAATAAATATCGTTAAGTCAAATTCTTGCTCCTTCTCTATGTCTTGCCCTTCCTGGACATGCTTTGCCTTCTTGCAAGACAGATTTATACTTTAGTTTTTAATTGCAAAAGTGGTAGAGGTTTGTTTAAAAAATTTTCAGTCATTAAAGCAATAAGCTTTTAAGTGAAAATTATTCCTTGATTCTCAAGATACCCCCCAACCCCATTCTCTAAAGGGAATAGCAACTTAGTGTAATTCCTTCTTCCTTCCCTCTCTCCATCCATACACATATACTTTCTTTCCAACAATGAAATAATTCTATTATGTTTTACTTTAACCTGCTTTCTTCACCTCAATTACAGACGACTTCTTATTAGGGAAAAAAAGAGCTTTTTAAATGGCTACACAGTGAGTGCACAGTCCCTTTGTTATTTACAGTCTCTGTTCAAAACTTTAAATTTTTGCTCCAGATGTCTTGTTCCCTCCATGAGTTTGGGTGCTCTGAAATATGTCAGCCTAGGTTAACTCACTGTGTCAGGCTGTTGTTAGCATCACGATGCTCTTCTGGAAGGAAATGAGTGTCATTTACCTATAAACTCACACCTGGATCTGAAACAGTAGGAGTGGGAATGGGTTAGAAATGTGAAAGTCCAACCTGAACAGTATCGCTTTAGAACAGGGGTACAGCTATCACTGTCCTGTTCTGCCGTCTGTTAAGAAGGGGCCCTTCAGGGAGCGTATAGCTGAGTGGCAGAGTGCATGCTTAGCATGCATGAGGTCCTGGGTTCAATCCCCAGTACCTCCATTAAAAATAAATTAAATACACCTGTATTCCCCCTGCCCCCCCAAAAAAAACCTACAAAAAAGGGGAGCCCTGGAGAGAAGCAAAGTCAGAGCTGCTGGCTGCATAGGTCACTGTAATGACCTTGAAACAGCCAAGGCAGGTGAAGCAGGAAAG